GGGGGGGGGGGGTTGATGTGTTTACTTTAGCGCACTGGAAGTGAAAATTCCCGCAGCCGCACAATGTTTAAGATGGATTTTTTGTTTGTTTGTTTTGTTTTTCATGCTTTGCTTTGCGTGGACTTTGTCTGTATGACACTGTTGTGTTCGGCGGGCGTCTCCTTCATGGCGTTGGACAGCTCCTCCTGAAGTTTGCCCTTCCCTTCCGAAAAAATGGTCCTGAAATGGGTGTGGAGGGGGTGTGGGGGTGGGGTGGGGATGGAGAGTCCAAATTAGAAATATTAAAAGCAAAACGCAACGTTGGTGAACACTGAACCCTCGAAATGAGGTAGTCGACGTACAGTATATGTAAGAAGACCCGGGGCGCTTCCACAGTCTGCTTACATATTCCTTCACCACCGTTGACAACAATCGGGGGGAAAGGTCATGATGTTTCTTAAGAGTCATCCGGCGTCACATGGGCTTTCCTCAACCAAAAGCACATCAACAAAATGCTACGACGACAAAGCTCTCCTGCACACCGGAGCGAGGACAGGGCATTTCTCTCAAAGTCTGAGGGTGTCGAGGTAGATGCCGTATTTACCAAAAGCCCCTTTCAGACGAGGACCGTCGTTCTTTCATGCGATTTTACAAGAAATTATCCAAGTCCAATTAATCAGTATGAAAATGATCATATGTGACAAACTATCTTGGTTCATCTATCGATGCCGACAACGTGTAGTGACGAGCAGAACAATCCACTTGCATTCGATGGCAGATGGTACAATCAACCTATGTATCCACACTGCAACAAAATCATTGCTTTGTGCTGAACAAAACAGGCCCAGATTTCATATTGAGTCTTTTTTTTTTTTTTTTGAGAAGAGGGCGTCATTATTTTAGGTCTACACTATATTTTATTGTGATGTTTTTGTTGGGTGTTTTTTTTTATTTTTCCGTCAGATGTTCCAAATGTATAAGGCTACTGATACGGAAAGGGGGGTCAACTCGTGAATGCATCCAACGTAGTATTAGACGCGCAATGCCGTCGATACGGAAGCTTGTCAGATGCATGTTGCTTGCCGTGATATACTCGCAGAGGACGCTTATTGCACCTAACCTAATCTGTTGGGCGAACTCGGTCTGTCCGATATTGAATGTTCTTTTCTGCAAAATCTGAATATAAAAACTCCCAGACACGTAAGATGGAAAAAGAGTCTTGGTCTTGTCGTGAAAATGCTCTCATACCGTTGGCCTAAATGAGCATGAAAGATCAGCTATTTCAGGTTTCGTCGTCGTACCAGTCATGTTTATTCCTCTCCGTTGGTCCGCTTTCCACAGAGTTGAACAGAACTAACAGTAGCAGTAGCCACATTTTTTCTCGTTCTGGTCGGATGACCGTCACCAGAAAATGTCAATGGCTTACCTTTTGAGCTAGACTTACGGTTTTTTTTTTAATCTATTCAATGCATTTTTTAGGTGGCAGGTTCGTTTGTTAGAGTATTACGATTTTCCGTCTCTCGACTGCATTTTTCCATGTGTGCTTAAGTGTGATATTATAAAAGGAGTGTCTACTATTGTGACGTCTGAAAGAGGCTTCTTGAGTGCTCATCAGAACTCGCGCATAGCTGGCGTCGGGCCAAAACCTCCTTTGTCCAAATTTTGGTCAATATTTTTTCACAATTCTACAATTGAAAAATTGGTCAGTCCCAAGTATTTGAATTATTATTATTTTTTTCAAATTACCGACCAACCCTAAGTGCTAAAAATGGCCTGCTGTCTGACAGTGAAACGTTAACGGTTCAGCAAACACACGGTACTTTTGGTTTCCTGAAACGTGACAGTTGTGGAGATGTGAGGATTGCGCCCGACACTAGCGATACGCACGATCAAAACTTCACTCCTCAGTCACCACCAGACCATTGAGTTAACTTCATACCACCCTTATTAGGCTTGTTGCTAAATGTGTCGTCAATGGCAACATGTGGTGGTGAATGAATGAATGCACAAATTACTCACTCACACATACACAAACACTCACACACACACAAATAAACCTCTAGAGGGAGCCGTACTCATCGTTGACAGGAGGAGCGGTCTTGGTCAGAGGCTCTGATGCGTCCACTGAGAGGGGGAGATCTGCTCCGTCTCCATTGGGCAGAGAAGGGGCAGAGGGCGGGCTCTCTAAGCTAATGAGATCATCGGGGATGGCCGAGGGTCTCTCCGTGCCGTTACTCAGCTCCAAGTCGAATGTGGCGTTATTGAGACCCATGTCGTGGGCGAGTAAGTCGTACATGTGCGGTGGTGATGCGAGGAGGTCGCTCGCAGACGGGGGAGACAAAGGGGTGGGGACATCTCGGACCAGAGGGGACAATTCTTCAGCATCCGGCACTTTGGAAGCGCCATGGATGGCTGAAGATGGGGGGTTAGGGTGGGGGCTATGAGGGTAGGACGGCTGGGCGAGCTTGTCAGAGGTGCAGTTTGAATCGGGGTCTTTGGGTATGAGTGGCGGACTGGGAGCTGGTTTCTTGGTGTCAGGAGTAAGAGGAGGGTCCGTGGCCAACGGAGAGACGGGCGGACTCGCTTTAGCCTTTAGAGCGGCAAGTTTAGGAGAGTGCCTCCGTTTGGGCGGGATGGGCGTCCCGGGTTTCTGACTCCGTTCGGGGGTGCCGGGTGGACCGTCGCTCTTTGTCTTCTCTTCTTCGTCCGCCACCCACTCGGCTCCCCTCCGCTCGACTAACGGCGCGATCTTGGCCTCGACGGCTGCCCTGCACACAGGGGGAGTCGGCGGCGGCGCGCTCATCTCGGGACTGGGTGCCGGCGCCGGGATGGGCGTGGGCGAGGGGTCGTTGGCCGGGGTGGACAAGCTACACGTGAGCGTGGTGGTTTCGCTAGAGGGGCTGTCCTGAGCGGGGTCAATGGTGGCTGTGGCCGTATCGGAGGAGAGCGTGTCCAGTGCCAGGGCAGCAGTGAAAGCCGCCAGCCTGAGAGAGCAGGGAGAGAACAGAGACACACAAAACTAGACACCAGGGTGACTGTGACACAGGAAGGGTGGCCTCGAGCGGCAGGCGAGAGGATTAGTCGGCCTCACAAACAACACAAAGCAACCGAAATCAAGAAGGACGGTAGACAATGACAACAACAAAAAAGAAAACAACAACTATGAAGGAGAAACAAAGAAGCTCATGCTGTGAGTGGACATTAATGGGAGCGGGGCCGAGGGAGATACTGAATGGGAAGGCTGGAAATCCAGGAGAGAACTATTACGCAGAACCACCTCAATGGCTTAAACAGTACCAGTGACAAGTAAGCTTGACTCGAGAGGACAAAGGTCTTTCTTTCCATGTCTTCTACTGGTATTGCTTCAACATTCGTATGACCACACAGTCGACAAGTACTCCTGAAAAGCGACACACTCTCAGTGGACTCCACTCAAGAATGACCAGAACTTGTCTGAAAGAAGTGGGCGAAAGCGGGTCAAATTCTGTCCTGGTGGGTGGACAAGTGAATTCTTGATAGTGGAGTGCAAAGTTCCAACAGCTGATAAGGATGTTTAAGAGCAGCAAAATAAGAAAGGGAAAAAAATAAACAACAACAAAAAAAACGTTTGTGCGGCTGCCAGCTTGACTCACTCTGGCTCTGTGAGGGGCGTGGTTTCGTTGGGTTCTGTTGGGCCTGCTGCATTGTGATTGGCTGTGCACTCATCCTCCGTTCGGACCTCCACGATGGGCTCTTTGGACTCGTCTTTCCTGTGGACAGATATGTGACATCATCCTCGTGAATGGAGTGACTGATGAAAGTACTTGCATTGCGATGGAAACAAATCATTGTGCGCTGTAAACGCAGTTGTCCTTTGATCACAGAGTTGGAAAAACCGTGACTTCCTTGGGACAGGTTTTTCGGTATTTAGATGGAAATGACGTTTCTTAAGTTTGCCCTCTCCAGAAAACAGATTTCGAAAAAAAAGCAGCCAAAATATCGCTTGGACCCATTTGCATGGAGCATTTGTAGCTCATTTCATAATAACAACTAAACAAATTTCCACCTAACTTATATGACAGCCTGTCATACGTTTGGAAAATTATCCAATTTCACTTAATTTGTCAGAAAATGATTTTTTTAATTACAAATACAAAGTATATATTGGTTCATCTATTTATGCCAGTGACATGTAGTGACAAGCAGTTAAATGCTCTTTTATTAGATGGCAGAGGGTTCAATTAAACAATGTTGCCATTCGCATAACCGAATGAGTCATGACTTCCTGTGGTTAGGTCAGCTTTGTGTTCAATTGAACCCGCCAAGATTTCAAACTGAGTCAATTTTTGAGAAAACTGAGACACGATCAGAAATTTTTCAGGATTTATACTTTTTGTGTTGCATCCTCGGTTGGTGGTGTGCTGTGAGACTTGTGTGCGCTCTCAAATGCGTGCTGACTGTCCTAGGATGTTGAAATTCTTTTGGGCCACTTGGGGGCAGCACAAGAACACATTGGCTACATAAGTAGAAAACAAGAATTGAAAAATCCGGAACCAGCTTTAGTCACACCTCAGCATAAAACAAGGATGAATGAAGTGCCAGGTTTTCATTTATCTGCCAAGACACTGCATGTGAACTCGGCGAAAAGGTTGAGTTTATTTATAATGACCATAAATGACACGCTTACGGCACGGCCAACATTTAAATTCTACCGGGCAATCAGGTTTTCATTCGACCATGCTTGACCACTGAGATTGTATTTGTGCGGCTACTGACATGAATGCGGCTTTGCCCTCCTCCAGGTCTTTGCCTTTCGTTCCGGAGGCCGACTTGCCGCACAGGCACATGATGAGGCCGCACTTGTTGACGAAGTAGCACGTAACGTCGACGGCCAGGAGCAGCAGGACAAATGCCACCACCAGGATGCCCGCCCACAGCATGATGCCCATGGGGAACGCCGCGTCTTCGTCCAAATCTGACACAACGGTAATGACAACACAGTAGCGAGCGCGTGATGGGTTAGTCCATAAACAGATCAATACATCTGTAAATTGCTTCGAAGAAGAAACGACTCACCTGGTCTTGCTGCGGCGTTTTATAAACGTGGGATGCAAAACAGCCCTCAATCACATGTATTCAACATATGTATTTATTTGGAGTTAGATATAAACTACTCATAAATTATCCTTGTTCATCGAGCTATGCCAGCGACAAAAAGTGACAGGCAGCGCATTTATCTTCCACTTCATGGCAAAAGCTACATCATTAACCTGCGAAACCACCTGTTGCCTTTCACACAGCAAAGCAAGTGCTGGCGCGCACACGCTGTGTAAGCACATATGAGTCAATTAGGTTGAGATCATTGCGGCATTTCACAAGATTGTGATGTGAGAATTTTCTACAGTAAAAAAAAAAAAAAGTGGAAATGTTGGGAAACACTTAAAATACAGTGTTTATGTATAAATGACACTCTTAAGACAGGCGTGCAGCTCTGTGTATGCGTGTTGGGGGCGGCGCAGCACCCTTCAGTGATCATTGTAGAAAACGTGGTTAGGTATTTTGATACACTTGGACATGCAGGAGGGAAATGTCAAATGTCACAACTCGTAATACAGCGTGGACACTATTCAAATGTAATTAGGCTCTTTCCTGCTAGCTGTTTTTGTTGGCGTAAAGGTTAAGTCGGTCTTTCCATAATATACACACTTCGGTGAGCAACACAGCAGTCACTCAGGATTTAAAGTAAAAACACTCGAGTTGCTGAGTACTGGACCGTGGTCTGGTTAGTTGCTTCCAATTGTCACTCATCTCTGTTGTTTATCGCGACTCACTGTCAACATCGGGGGCCCGGGGGGGAGACTCCAATAGCTTTGGTTTGGTTGTGTCGTGAAGACCACCACCACCACACAGACACACACACACTCTCACACACACACACTTACACACACACACACACACACACACACACACACGTCCGTCATAGTTTTTCGAAAAATGCGCGCGATTTAGCCGCCATCCAAACTACGAGAGCAGCAATGCGGTGATGACGGACAGGATGAGTGAGACCAAACAGCACGTCACGGACGGGGAGCCCTGAGTGGCTGGGATGACAATGTCCAGAAGCGGTTCGGAGATCAGGAACGTTGGAGGTGAGGGGGGAGAAAAAAAGGAGGATGAGGGGAGGAAAAAAAGAGAAGGGGATGGGGGCAGAGGAAGAGAGAAAGTGAAAATATGTCGTCTGAAAAAACAAAAAGGTGAAAACATCAAAGAAAAGAAGGGAAAAAAGCAGCAACGCATTTGAAGTGAAAAGCACAAAGCGGGAAGATGGCGCCTGAAGAATGGACAAGATGGCGGCGGGGGGAGGGGCATGGACCAGTTTTAATTAGGACTGCCTGGTTAGTCAGCGGTTACATAGCACAAACTAGCCACCCTCTTTCCACTGTTAAGACTGAGAAAGATGACACTTATTCAGGGGGAGGCGTTTCAAGTCGCCTGGCCCAGTTGCGCAGGAGCAAACTCAAGCTCATTTCACGACACCTGTCAAACCTTCCAGTCGGGAAAATTCTGCCGGAAAAGCATTTTTTTTCCCTCTCGCCGCTGTGCGAGGAAATCTATTTTTTATTTTTTTCCGGCCCCGTAGATTTATTGAGTTGTCATTTTCACCTTTCAGGGCAAAAATAGAAGGTGAGCTTTGAGTGATGCTCCTGGCTGCACTTGTGTTTAGTTGCCGTGTTAGCGCCCGAGCAAGCGGGCGAGCGGGCTAATAGGACCGAAGGAAGCCTACCTGGCATGACGGCCGGCTGGACGGACGTCCTGATGGACATGCTCGCCTGCTCCGACTTGCCCTTCTGGTTCTCGGCCACCACGGAGATGTCATAAATGGTGTCCCACTCCAGCCCGCTCAGGATCACGTAGTCGCTGTCGCTGGGCATGCGGATTTCGGGTTTCCAGTGTGAAGACTCAATCTAAAGGCACACAAGTTTGGGCTTTTCAATTGTGGTTGAAGCCACGTTTCGGGGTTAGTTTTTGCACAGTGTCATCTTATAGCAAGATTTGCACTGTGGCCACTTTTGTATGCCGCACATACTCCACACGCACATGCTGTATGGTGTGTGTGTGTGTGTGTGTGTGTGTGTGTGTGTGTGTGTGTGTGTGTGTGTGTGTGTGTGTGTGTGGGTGTGTGCACTTCTTCTTCGTTGGTTCAGATGTTTTTTTTCTTCGCAGCCGCATTTGGCAGATGAGCATTCGGCGACTCTGCTGCTGTCAAAGCACGCTTTTGTGCGCAAAATCTCCTTCTGTGTCCTTGTCATTGTGTAACAAATCTAACTCCACGCTGTTGCCTCTGCCTACAGTGCGCAGAATGCCGGGGTCGAGATTATCTTCCCGTTTTTTTTCTTCTTCTTCTTCCGTTTAACATTTTTTCTATTGATATTGATCACGTGTATTGTCGTTGTGATCCATACTGATATTGACTTATTACCGAGCCCTCATTTGAAACCAATTTTAGGTTCTCAGATTCTAATTTGAACAGGGGGCGAAGGGTACCAAGCAATGGTTATTCGCTTTTTCCAATCAGGCTTTCAAGTCTGTGCTGTGGTTTCAAGTAGGGCTGTCAAAACGAAGAACAGGGCGCGCTGCCAAGATGAATAAATAAATAAATGTATATAAATAAGCGGCTCTGCGATTTTCACCGTTGACTTCCTTGTGACTAGACAATTAATCTCGGGAGCCCAAGTTTCAAGTAACACTCCAAAATCTTGTCGGTCTTCCCAGAAAGCAACTTGATATTTTCCTCAGTTGTCACTTCCTGACACATCAGTCCAAGCTTGATACCCACTGCGTCCCGATGTCGCCACACTCACTGGTTTGAAGCGGACAAGGTAATGGAGGATGGGCAATCCACCGTCATCTTGCTTGGTCCAGCTGACTTTCAGGGAGTTGCCTATTGGCTGAAGCGCTCCTTCCAGCCTGGGAGGACTTGGATTTCCTACAGGCAGGGGAGCAGCAGCGTCATAATCGACATTTCACAGAAAAAAAAAATCCCCCGGCCAGCGAGATGGGTTATTGAGCGAGGGCAATTGTTTCGTCTTTAGAAATTGAGATGGTGGAAAGTTTGAGAAAACGTCGGCTCTTTGTTGCCATGGTCCTTATGAGGTCATTGGCACTTCCTTTGTAACTTTGCCTCCAGATGGTGGAGTCACACTCATGACTAAATGACACACGGGTGCGTGCTCATCTGATTCAGTCTGAGTGACACTCAAACGGAATCCAGATGATTGACTGATATAAACCACGCCTCCTAGTCTTCAGGGCTTTTTTTCCCCTAATTGACTGCAATGTTTACAGCACAACAAATTAGCACCGGATAACATGGTTGCGCCACTCAGCCTCGGCGCGTGGCAAGATTTCGATAGCAATGGTTAAATGCAGCACTCGTAGCACTATCAGGCACGCACAAAAGTTTATCACCTGTGTGAAAAGGCAACAAACGGAAGAAGGTGCATTGCAGTTAGACATATTTTGACGGTGTGAGGCGATGACTTTGTTAGTCAGAGCTCTCAATATGAATGCTAAAAGCTGCTGATTGAGAACCAGAGCAAATTGCGGAAAGAGAGCTTTGTTTTTTGTTTTTTTGGTTTTTTTTTTAGAGGGAGAGTATTAATTATGGTGGAGTGCCCCAAAAAGTGTTTGTTTCTGGAAAAATTAGACACAACTATGGATGTACAAAATCTGTTATTCTCTTGTTTTAATCCCCATTTGCATCCTGTCTTCGAATTTATCTTGACCGATGCTCGGTTTTAATCATTTGAGTCAATCATTTCGATGATTTTATGACTTTTGCGATGAACATATTATTTTATTTTGTTCTTTAATGTTTTATATAAAACACTTTGAATTGTCTTCTACATGAAATGTGCCGTAAATGAAACAGCTTTTTCTTTCTTTTCTGTATTTGAATGCCATTAGCACAGAAGAGCGACTGTGACGACAAACAGGGAAAGTGTAGCCATGATCAAAGCAAATGGAACATGCTGGGACGTGTGAATGCATTTGGCTTTGCAGTACAATCCAATCCCAAACACAAATTAATTATACCCTCTCCATTATGTGTCTGTAAGGAGTGAATGGATTCACTTTTTCATTTTACAGTGCCGTGATAAAATATTTGCCCCCTTCCCTAATTTCTGTGTCTCTGTGTGATATTAAAATTCATTTGATGGACTGAAAACTTTGTATGTGATAAATATGCAAAGAACACATAAATCAGGAAGGGGGCAAATACTATTTCACCGCACTGTCTAAGGGCCTCTATAGCTGAGTTTGATATCTGGGCAATCAATGAATAGGTTCTTATAACGTTGGCAGTGCAGTAAATTCAGATTTTAAGATGGCAACTTTCTGCAACTGATTAATTCGCTTGTGATGATTTGCGATTGGAACATTTGTGGATGTCGAGCAATAGTGTTTGACTTTGTTTGTCTACAGGTGAGATTAATAACGGAGCATCTCACAGATAGCTGCCTCTCAATAACAATTCACGCAATGCTGATAAACATCGCCAAGGTAACCGGCTCTGGCTCTCATTAATCCTGCCAAGACGGACGCCTACTCTATTGATTAATGGCATTTGGCTCCAACTCTGCTGCGCGTCCGCTTAGAAGCAATTAATGTGGCGTTTAATAGCGGCATTTGCCGATTAAAGCGATCAGTCCCAACGTCAAGTTTACCTTCTGCAGAGTGAAGGGGGGCGGGCCGTCACGGTGCCATGCAAACCAGAATAACAGTCACATTAATTGCACATGTACAGAGTATGAGTGGTTGAAAGGGAAGGGAATAAGAACAGGCGTGAAGAATAGAGCAGAGGACACATGACTAGCATTCTAAAACCCCGGAACAGGGCATCAGAGGGTAAGAAGGCTCTCTAGTGTGTGTGAAAAGGGCAACAGACGTCTTAAACGAACGCACTTCGGTGCTTCTGATGAGTCATGAGCAGAAGGGAACAATCTAAACAGTCGATGGCACAAAGCTGAATACCAGAGGAGTGATGTTTGCCTTTTGAAATGCAACTTTGCTTTAATTCATCACTCTGAAGTTTAGTAATTCACACGCTGCTAATTGGATGGTCATTATTATTGCTACTGGGATAACGTTTGGGATATGACAAAGAGATCCCGCAAAATGGCCGCAACAGAAGATCTGGCATTTAGCCACGTTGGCTTTTCACACGGAAACCACCGCAGGCAGCATTTTGTTGCAACTGTGCATTTTCACACAGCAATACAGGATCCCCGACCAGATAATTGGACAACGTCAGCTTTGTTTCATCGCTCGGCAGCATTTATACAGAACATAAAAGAAAAAAAAGTGGACAAACTCTATTCTTGCAAAGGGGGGCTTTAAAACCACGTCTCCTACAAACTAACACACGAGGCCAATTTGTACAATTGATTAAAACTAATCTGCACAGCTCTACTCTAATCATCCCGACAACAGAACAAACCCGTGTCTCCTGAGAATAAACCAAAAACGGCATCTTAAGACAAAGAAAAACACAAAGTGGTAATTAATCATCTGCAAAAATGCACTTCCAATTCAACTTCATGAGGTGATTAAGATCGAGATTTGCGCTTATCAAGAATAATTCTTGAAATATAACCCAATGTTCCTCAAACACTGTTGACCTGCGTCGAAAAGAAAAAAAAAAAACCCTTGCCAGTTTGACTTTAGTAAGCATTTCGAACGCACAAGTGCCAAAAACAAAAGAATCCAGAATTCCAGTGATTCAATTTCAATGACTGAGTTCACTGTTGTGTTAAGTGTTGTTTCTTGCCACCAGAGGGGGCTGATTGCTAAATAATAGCATCTAATCAATGTCATGTCGTAATTGATTTGGGCCAAGTCACAATTATTGTGTGAGCCTAATGAAATGCAAATGTTAATTCAAATTGAAGTGTAGTTGCGTCTAGAGAGAAATGATGAAAAGGGGCCGCTGGGAGTTGAGTGTTTATCAGAGCAACAATAACCAGGATGACCTTTAGGTGTGATGTATTGTCATGAAGGTGGTGGGTGCGCTTTTTCAAGGCATGTTAATTCCATTTAGAAATGAGCACAAGAAGGAATGATTGATTTGGGCTTTGCCCGTTTCACGTTCCTGTAATGTCTTCACTTTGCAACGTTGCCATCACTTAAGAATTGTTTGACGGCTGTGTTTTGATGTTTGTGCCAGTCTCGGTCCAGATTGCAAACAGTGCAGACTGTATTACTAAGGACTTGAGACCAAGAGTCAAGTTGTTGTTTGTCATGTGAGGGACTTACGGACTGGCTCCGTCTTGAAGGTCTCGACGGGGCAGCTTTCGCCTTCCCCCTTCCCGTTGATGGCAGACATCTTGACTTCATAGGTGGTGTCTGGCCTCAGGTGTGTTATGGTCACCTCGCCGATGGAGCCTAGCAGTGTCAAACGCTCATGCTCAGCAAAGAAAATTATTTTGGACTCAGCCTAGAAAAGCCGAAAGATTGTACTTGAAAATTGTAGTTTTGAGATCATGGTTGGCACTGATGTCAGAAAACGGTGGAAGCTCAAAGCATGAACACCTTCTCATTGTCAAATAAGCGTGAAAGTTATCATAAAACCTGCATTAACTGCTTTAAGTAACCTTTTAACATGATTAAGTTAACTTGAGACATTCAAGACATCTCTTTTTATGGTCTATTTTCCCTACTTTTATTATGATTATGGTATTTTTTTTTTTTTGCAGGGGACAGCTTGCACAGGGCATCAAATGACAGACCACATAGCTAAATTGTATAGGAGACTGTTTCTTAGGATCTACAGGATGTACAGACCCCTTACCGTCACTGGTAACCTTTTGTATTGGGAATCACCAGGGGGAAAAAAGCCAAAGAAAATACCAAATCCCTTTTGATGCTTCCTGAGTTTGAAGTCCACTATCCCGCTGCATTTCAATTTGGATGGTTCAGATTCAAGGTTATATATATTTTATGACAGGTGAGCTTGGTATAAATCCAGTTTAAATTTTTTTTTGTTTTGGCATTTATTTGGAATGCCACCAGATGGGCGTGGACAAGATGGTGCAGACAGACAGAAAGATGATTGCGAATAAACTGCAATTCCAAAGGACAACAGCAGCAATTAACACCTGCTGCTTCTAAATGTAGCCAAATGGAGGGGGAAGAAAAATCCAATTCATCATTACCATCTTTGAGCTCATAGATTCTATGCGACCAGCTGCCTCTGTCTTGCATCCTCCATGTTGCTTTATACTTGAGCACGGGGACGCCTCCGGTGGATTCAGGCTCCTCGAACTGAACCAGCGCGGTAGTGGAGAAAGGTGACACCTCATTGATGAATGGAGATGAGGGCACCTCTGTGGTAAAATGGGAGGACAGGAAGTGAGGTGATTAAAAAAAACAAATAAATAAATAACACACGAACATTGATTTTTCTTTTTCTGAGACTGACCTGCTTGAATGAGGACAAACTCTTTGGCTTCTGTGCCCATCTCATTGGAAGCAGTGCAGTTGTAACTCCCAAAGTCATTCTCAGACACCGGCGTCACCTGTAGGGAGACAAATGACAATCGTTACTTTACTTCAGTAAAGTGTTTTGTTTTTTTTAAATTATTTATTGTTATTTTGTTCATGCCTCCACAATCCTACAAGTTTGAGCTATGAAAATAGTTCTGCTTAAAGCCTCCGGTGGCTGAAATGTATTCCACCGGATTGTCTCGGAACTTTCCACGCCACAACCAGAGGCGCTAGCCACCAGCTTGCTTCTGAGCTAACGGCCTTCTGGGGCTGACCCCTTCGCTTAGGATTAAAAATAACAACACGGAGTTGCTCCGTTAATCGTGGCATCCAGGGAAGACGTGTTTTCGGTTAAACGCAACTCGTAACTGCGTTGGCTAATGATTGATGCAAATGACGGCATGCAAGACGGTTTTTATGTTGCGAGGGTGTCACTCGGTGCTGTTCTAATCTCGCCCCTAAAAAAATCTGAAAACTGAAATCATGAAAAACATTTAAATGCTTTCTCTCCTTAATTCAGTGCTCCCCACTTCTCAGTCTTTGCACATTTCCAGCAATTTTCTTCAAACATTTTGAGCATTTTGAAACAAATCTTTGAATTCACTTTACAGATAAAAGTTTAAATGTATTTAAAGCACGACGACGCATCCCCCTCCACGCACCCTGAACCTACAGAAGGTAGGTCTGGAATTTATTTCCTGTGATGAAGAGAGGTTCACTGCATTCAATTTTTATTCGCTGCTGTGGATTTCCCACCGTGAATTATTCACAGTACATAGCTGGGAAAAAAAAACTCATAAAATCTTGATGATGCAAAGAGGCGCCATTAAAGAGCGCGCCCATCTTACTTGGAGGTAGCTGGCCAGGGGCGAACTGAAGATCTTAACGTTGCTCGTGTTGGCGTTGGGCAGCGTCAGCCCGTCCCGCAGCCAGTCAATGGTGACCTGGCTGGGGTGCGCCTGTACCTCACAGCTAATGTTGACGGCGTTTCCCTCCCAGGTGTACACCGCCACTTCGCCTTGGATTTTCGGAGTGTCTTGGGAGAAACATGTCCGATGGTTACACTCGTAATCTCAAGGATGTAACGATGCTTGAAATGAAAAATGCATCCGTGTGTTTATATAAGGTAGCGATACACCTGTAGATGCCAGTGTGTTGCCACACTAATATTACACTTGGAATGGTGAAATAATGACAAAAACACCAGATGAAAATAATTTGGGTTCTTGCAAACATTTCCAGTGACTGCGTTTCCAAATGGGTTGGTTGGTTTGATCGAATGGGCTCATCACATTACATTGCGCATGCATGGAAGACAGCCTAGAACTGAAGCTGTCTTTGATGCCAAATGCATGACTTGTCAACGCAGGACCTCTAATCATGAAGCTGATACCTGTGTTCAAAGCATGCCTCTGCATCAGAGTGATGCATCAAAGCCAATCACTTAGAAATGAGATTTTTTGTTTTTTTTTAATCATAACCATGAAAAGGATTTTTGAAGCATTTTTCACCATTTTTGACTACTCAAACTGCTTGGCGTCAAAAGCTCCATTTTACGCAGAATTCAGCAAAGGTGCTTTCACACAACAATCAGATCATTATGAGGCCAGTGTCTTATGTGACGTAAATGTATGGACAATTGGTTTCAACCCAATGGGAACCGCATGTTCACTGTGATTTGCCTGGCCTTTGTGGCATTCATGCCGCTGTTCGGCTTCCCCTCTTAAAGCTGCCTTTTTCCAGTGCCACTGATCTGTGACGGCGAAGTGAGATTTCACTTTTACTACCCTTTTGTTAAAAGCGATCGTCCGGCAAGTATTTTATTTCATCGTAACGCATCTAATGATCACATTGTGGGACTTTGGGAAAACTTGTCGCGGTGTGAAAGTGTGCACACAGTGATTTCATGCTTTGTTGGGATCTGTGTGAAAGGCAAAGGCTGATAAATACCGGATTGTTTTGCTGCTTTGCAAAATACAGATGCTAGTCAGAAGGTGTAAAACTGTCTATTCAACGTTCATACATAGAGGAGTAACATGGAAGAAAGGCAGGAAAATGGCATCTTTCAGAGGCAGAAGGTCATTGCGTTAATGCATGGAGGTTTGCACTGATGTCGTTAAGCGAATACATTTTCAATTTCTTTTTTTTATCCCATTAGCGAAAGGATCGAGATGAAAAATGTCAGGCAGTAATAGAAGCGGGGAGTTGCCACACAGCGAGCTGTCAGATGAAGAGCTCTGGGCGACACGTTGCGTGTCTCAAGCCTCTCAACCAGGTTTCCACCGTTTTCGACAGCACCCTGCTGACTTTATAAATTCGTGTCATGTGCCGACATAAAACGGGATAACGGTTCTGCAGCTACCACCCTAAAACTTCAGGTCGAATCAAAGCGGCTGTGAATGTCACATGTTTATGATATTGGCAGTAACACATTTGGCAGCTGGATCGCCATTTATTTAGTTATGTATTTTTTTAATTTTGTAAATAATTCGAATATTTTAGCATTCCTGTCATACGTGCGTATAGAGAAGTTAACCATGATTAATCATTCATTAAACTGTTTAAACAATAAAAATCTCATTTACAAATGAGCAAAAGAACTTTCCGGTGTTCGGTACATTCACTTCTTATATAGGTCGGTTTTCAATGGTTTCAACATATGAGGTTCAAGATTACGAAGGGGTGCGCAATGAACTCGTTTGGCATGGCACGAGACACATTCAGTTATCACCCATTGTTTTATGTTTGTGACCTGGATGTGTTTTAAATTATTTATTTTTGTTTTTTTCCAGGCCAAAGCAAGGAGAGTATTGCTTTGCCACCATCTTAGTGCCAATGAACTATGTTGAAATGAGATAAGGAGCTTCATTTAGGCAAAAGTATTACTTTCCCACCATCTTGTGGCAGCTTGGCGCCAAGGCCGTATGTTGAAGTGAGATCAGGAACTTCATTTAGACAAAAGAAGCATGATATCACCCTCTTATATCATCTATATACAATTCTTTCTATGGAGTGCGTCAATTACTGACAGATTTTTACTATTTGCGGCAAACACTGCCGAAGGGGTTCACTACACACTGAATACTTACAGCGAACCTCCAGATATGCCCCCTGGTCATCTTCCCCAATGGCACTGCGCGCCGAACACAGGTACTGCCCGGCGTCGGTGTACTTGACGTACTTAAGTGTGAGTGAGGAAACGCGAGCATCACTCCGCACCACCACGTTCCCATCCTCACTCTGAACAGAAGCAAACAATAGCCTAGTTAGTCCATTAATCCATGTGTGTTATTTACATGCCGCATGTCATGTGGAGCGGCAGACATGATGCAAGAGAAAAAAAACTGTATGGTGGAAATGAGCCCTTAGGATGTATAGGCGCCATGTCATGATAATTGGCTCGACAAATGGCTTAATGATTAGCATGAATATTTGCAATTCTAAAAACTCAAAACACCAAAGTTCACCATCCTCGTTTTAGGCTCTTCTGAATTAGGTTTAACCACGAGGGAGAGCCCTCCTTGATCTAGACGTTTACAAAATATGTGGACTGAGCCAGTGCATTAGAATAGTAATTTTAAGTTTAACCACAAAAGGGGAATAAAGAGAACCATAGACGTTCATATTAGAATGATAATTTCAGAATTGGACACTGGAGTGTGCCATACTGCATTAGGTAGCTGAATTAAAATACACAAATGACACATCCATATGTAAACGAATGAAAACATAGTTTCACACAAACTAAATATCCAAATATGAGCCTGCTTGCTGATAGTCATTATTTTTGCCGACACGTGTATCCAGAAACAGCTTTTCAAGGAATATTTTTCAAAGATTTGCCCATGACTATATTCTCACAAATATATTTCATGTGACGATTACAAAGGGTTGAGTCGAGGAAAGAAATACGCTGAGGAGCAAGACGACATTTGATTACAGGAAAAAAAGGCAACAGATGTGGAAACACACGAGCACAGTTGGCAGTAGCGGGGAGCTGATCCATAATTCATGACAGAAGGAACCATGCAGAGCTTTCAGCTCGCAATGTGTAGCACATTGTGACAGTCACCTTTAGCCAGCTTTTACGTTGCTTTCATTCAGGCCCATTTGATTTATCTATGGCTAGATTGCTTGTCCTGATCACCTCAGCGCTTATGTGGCTGCTAATTCTTTCCAAAACGTGTGTCAAATTCAGCAAAGGAGAGAACGCGTTGCATTCCGAGCCAGAGAAATGACAACAGGCAGCTGGCGAATGAGTTATGTAAATGACTCCCCACACACAAGAGACGCTACCTGTTTTCTCGACACCTGACTTGAAGCATCTTCCCCACCTTCAGGGTCAACAACTGCCACTTCCAAACCCTGACAGGACGACCATTTGTGACATTGATACCAACCAGGCCTCATGATCACGCTAATGCCCGTAGCAACTGTTTCGCTGCAAATAATTGCCTCCCACCAGTCCTGATAATTCTTTTATGACTTTGCCCGCATGCGTTCCATTTTATCGAGCTGCAAATGACAGATGATATGAATTGCCTTTTGAGGCAATGCCATTCATCTGATTGCCCGCCGGACTTGGCAAACCTCAAGCCGTCAATCCGTATTGTTTCCGTATTGAATTTAATTAATGGATTTGGGATGCAAAGTTTCTATGTTTGTTTATTTTTTGTTGGATTGTTTATTTTACAAGGTGTGACGGCAGTAAACACCTCAAGCAGCTCTTTCCCATTTTTTTTCTCCTCCCCAGGGGCGAATGGCAAAGGGCCAAGCTGCAGGCAAAACAATGCCCTGGCTGCTTTTACAGATACTGTTTGGGGAGGCAGCCAGGGAGGTAGTGTAAAGAGAGACCCTCCTAGTTTGTATTCCGATTGAATAGGCTTCGCATGTTTGCCGCATTTATTATGCAGTGCGGGTAGAGGGACTGGAGCAACGCTTATGTAACACAATGGCCTTTTATTCTGACCCCGGTGCAGAAAACATTCTCTGTCGGACTCTGCCGCTTGGCAACGCGGCCGATGTACAAGTTGAAATTTGGCACTCATTTGGTAAATATTAATTGTTTTTGTTTTCAGCAACATTTTTTTTTCCTTCACGACACGTCCATTTAAGACAAACCAAATGGTCTCTCTTAATATAGTGGGAAGGAGCAGATCAACTCAACTACAGAGAGGCACAGGCTTCTGTTTTGGGTAAAGCTTGTGCTAGGGCGCTGGAGTTGATCCCAGCTGACTTTGGGCGAGAGGCAGTGCAATCTCCGGACTGGTTTCAGCCAATCACAGGGCAGCCTTTATTCATTTATATGCATATATTTTCACCAGCAATCCTAACTTATGAAGCTATCATAATCAATGTTAAGGATGGCAAGAGAGTTGGTGCATTATTTTTCAATACCTGACTGGCAACCAAACAGGAGTTCAGAAAATTCCGAGAGTAATAAGTATATCAAATTTTAAAATACTATTGATAAAAACACTTTATGGGTAAATTGATCTATTCAAAGTAAAAATTCAGCTTTACAGATGCCACATATGTTCTGTCGCACTAAACATGGCTGCTGGGATCAGAAGCCATTATAAGGCAATTGCAACCACCGAGTGGCATCACTAGTCGGGGGGCAGGGGGGGTGAAGGAGGATTTTGTCTCAGGTTTAGTCTCTACAACAACATCAAGACTGTTAGTACCGCCATTAAATAAGCAAATGCTACAGCACATTTTCTTTGCTTTTATGGAGTAGCAGGTAGAACGTTGGAGCATGAAATCGAAAATGTACAATCGCAGCGGTCCCCAACCTTTTTTGCCCCACAAACCGGTTTAATTTCAGGCAATATTTTCAGGGACCGGCCTTTAAGGTGTGACGGATAAATACAACAAAATAATATGATATGACCTGCATGAAAACTGGTATTTTCCAAACATAATAATGAACACAAATCATGACACGAGGAACGTCCTATCTTGCCGCAACACTCTGTGGTCGCTATGGTAACATTTAAACATGCCTTCAAAATAAGATACACCGCAAATACAAAGTGCATGAAAAATAGGAATCACCACCGCCGCATATTATGCAGAGTGGGCTGGGTGGGTGGGAATCTCCCGCTGAGATAAATCCGTATTTTAAGTAGGACTCCTGATGCTGTCTATTAAATGTAGCCTTCTTTTTCTTGGAAGTCATAGGCTCCTCTTCTGTCTCCTGGCTGGGCCTTTTCCCCTTCCCAAAGACGTTTGTTTTGTATTCATTTTGCTCGCCCCTGGGTTTCATTTAAGCGTTAACCTATCACGTGACCGAGAAGCGCGCCTTGAGCTGCGTCAAAAGTGAGATATTGTAGACCGATGTAAGAGAGAATCCGGTAATTTTTCAAAATAAAACATCTTTCAGATTCCAAAATAAATAAAACGGAAGAAATGTAAGTTATTTATCCTTTCTGTGCGGCCACGGACCGGTACCGGGATTGAGGACCCCTGTACTACAGCACACGTTAACTTCACGTGTCACCAAACCTTAACTGGCGCGGCGTTTGTAAGAAGGAAATGTGCTCTGCTCTGCAGATTGTCCGCCGAGTCTGCCGCATTTGGCGCTAACATGCTCGGCACGCACACAACACTGTTCCGTTCCCATAACTCTTCTCGCCACTGCCTGCCTTCTATTATGGGATGTCTACACACACACACACACACACACACACACACACACACACACACACACAGTACAAGCGTTCTGCAGCTGATGACTTTCATTTCCCCCACCCATTTATGTATACCCATCACAGTCCTGTCGATATTGACATCATTAAGTTCACACCTTGAAAGCACTGCTTAGTCGAAAGACAGCTAACGTCCCATAGACCTGATACTTCAACAGGCACGTGCACCAAGTGGACACAAACCTTGTAATTATTGCCGCACTTGACTACGAACCTTCCCTCCTCACCTGTCATCTCCAAAAACTGATTTCTCATTCAAGTACTCTCTGGACATCACATGATCATGACTGAATGAATGGCATTCCACAAAAACAGGAGTAAGGGCAAGTCTTAATAGCACCCTGAGCTTAATTTCATTTGACCCTGCACCGCCATCTTTGTGAAATGTATTAATTTAAAAAAAAACATGCGCTTAGCAGGGGAGCCCCGAGGAGCCACTTATTTCGCTTACGCCTCTGGCCGGGTCTGACTCTCAATAATATCAATATTTGATGTTGATGTGAGTTCATCATCACGACTTTGGCTAGATATTAAAACAACATGAGAGAATTCTATTTTCATATTCAGCCAACGTAGTGAAGAACTGGAGCTTGATTCTGTGTTTGCCACATAAATAAATATGTCCTGTACTTCTATTTAGCACTTGCAAGAACTCATGAGGTGAAGAAAGTTGCTGGCAGACTATTCTTTTGGCATTTTTATTTCTTTCACCAACAGTCGCTGGCTGCGATGCATCGAGGCAGAGACATAACGCGATGCAAAAGATATTGGCACGGCATTGGGGGAGCGATGACGGTTTGCCAAAGTTGGATTTTTCTTAATAAAATAAACTCACTGGCCAATTCCTAGATGCTGTAAAAGGTGGCGCGCCACCACTGATAGGAGAAATGAGATGTAGTTGCGCTAACCAAGATAAAAAATTTCAAGACTTAAAAAAAAGATCATGGAAGCGATAAAACTGGGCTGCTTATCTGGGAGTAAAAAAGAAATGGGGAAAACATCCATACAAATCAGTGTTTTTAAATGTCTCCTTTGTGTACCCTGACTAGAAACTGCTGGGGGGGGGGGGGCGCAGTGGGGTCACCTATCAGAGTTGTGTGTAGTGATAACATGATTTGTTGCATATTTTTTATTTACTATGACACTTTGAGGGTGGTTGGTCTGATGAATCCTTTTCAGACAACACAACGTAACGTTCCAAGTTGCAGCCATTTGATAAGTCAGGCGCGAAACATGACAGAATTCAAGAAGAGACACATGGCAAAGCACGAAAATGTTCCTCCCTCTATCCCTCCTTGCCGTCTTCCATGCGCCATCAAAAGTCTTCACTCAAGGTAAAACGTAATAAATGCCAATTTGTTTTCTTGACTTTATTAGTCATTAATATTTATTTCACATTGTTTTTTGACGTGCCACACAATAGTTATTCTCCATGAAATGCATTTTTAATCACTCACAAAAAAAGAGGGTCCACTGTATATATATCGCAAACTCAAATGGCCTCATACACAGCGGAAAAGTTACACCGCCCCCATTGTGCGCCTACTCTTCTTGAAGGATTTTCATCTGCATCCATCCATAATCGCATTCGACTCCCCTGACATGGGAGATGGATGAGTGTCAGGAAAAAAGAGGAGGGAAAAAAAAGTCATGCATTTAGAATACCTTGTGCTGCTCAGGACGAGTCCATGATGCCTGTAAAGGACAGAGAGAACAAAAAACGACAACAACAAAAAGGCAGAGTAATTCTTAGAAGGCAATCCTCGTGAGCGGGGGTAAAAAAAAAAAAAAAAGCGTTGGTGCTTCAAATGACACATAGGTATTAAGTTCTGTGTTTTGTTTTGGGAGGTTTTTCTCCCCCATCTTTAATACCTGAGCTTGAAAGTTGGATTTGGCGCAAACAGTCGACGTATCAAGTGCAGTTCTATACTTGATGTCGACTATTGTGTGACGGCAAAGGCCCGGATTTTAAATATTTTCAGTAATCCCTAGCGTGTCCTCTTTGGAACAACACTGCATCTAAGCTCCATTAAGAAGCCCATCCATGATAAGAAGTGTCATGATAGCCCAAATGCTTTCAAAGATAAGATTAAAAAGGTCTTCACTTTATCTCGGGGGGGGCATGGGGAACGTTAAAAAAGTGGTATTGAGATGATCGATTCGCCATCCATTTTCTTGTGGCTTTCGTCATCAGATGCAATGTTGGCACTAAGATAAAGGAAGACACGCTACATTTACTTTTTACACTAGTCGCAGCTCAATATTTTTCTTCAAAAGGCTACTGAAAGCTGAATTGATCAAACAAGCCCTTGGGACCCATTTTGTGTTTGTCTACAACCAGTAAATGTTGGCCATTACTTTAGTTAATCCTGGCAGCTATGGATTGTATTCAACGTCTGAATGCTGGATACATCAGTGAATTCTAAGAGGATTGGAACAATGTTTACATCGCACATTAACTCTCCCTATTATGTCGACGGGAGTATTACATGTTGGTGTTCATTGGCCCGCTATGCATTCATGTATTCTGTCGACATTTCATTACGAGAACATGCTGGCTAATTTAGTTAGCTGCATTATGCTGAAAACCAAAATGATTGGCAACTGGATTTGCAAGTGTTTATTATTTAAGAATTGAATACAGAATTTCTGCAAATGGTGCCACAGATCAACTATATGATTCCAGAAACACACTGTTGGAATATTAAACAAAGGCGGCAGTTTATTACAACAGACATGTCCAAGAGTTTTAATTAAAATGCGAACGGTAAAAGCACGGATGTACAACATATTGTGGAGCAACCACCTGCCAGTCGACTGGACTGCTAATTGTCGATGCCATGAAGCGAGCTTCTGAGAAGTCCGCACTCCATTTCACCTGACAAAGTGTTTTGGTTAGCAACATCGTTGAAATTGGCTCAACTCATGTGAATAATTGCATTCACCAAATGAGGTCATTGCAGTCCTTCCTAATTTTTGTTTGTTTGTTTTTTGATGGGAAATGAGAGCCACCTATTTGAGGGAGAAGGTTATTTGTCAACCTAGCAATTGCGGTACATGTCTACTTCAGGGATGGCTACTATTTGCAGAAATACGGTATGTACATTATGGAAAGTGACGACGGAACAGATTGCACTGTATTTTGCAGCCCGCTCACATGAATGGCTTTTGAGCTCCGCAGGACAACATGCGATGTCCATTTTGAGTGACAGACACAGCTCACCAAGACAAGAAGCTTTACAGAAGGCATGCTCGAAGGAGAACATGTGAAAGCGTGACAATGAGGTGCGATGGCTCGTGTAACAAATAGAATGGCAAACAGCTCTTTCATCGGATGAAAAGCACGGAAACTTCTGAAGTAAACACAATCTGCTGGAATAATTGTCAGCGGAAAAAGAAATACAGTGGTACCTCTACTTACGAATATCTCTTCATACGAAATTTTCAAGTTACGAAACCCATCAACAGGAAAATATTACCTCTAGTTACGAGAGAAATTTCAAGTTACGAAAGGTAAAAATACAGTTTGCGCTCCTAGTCGCAGCAACGAGTTTTCTGAACGCAACATTCTTATAGCTGCTCTGCCATTGGCTACTACCGAGCATCATTCTGGTCGAGGAACCTCTACCGTATGTGTCTATGGGTGGAGATCAATAAATAGATATGTGTCCAGATATGTTTGTTTTCTATATTATGCACAACTCTCATTTATTGTGCAGTAATCTAATTGTAACATGTATTTGTTACATATTTTGATGCATTTTTATGCTTTAGAAAACATTGATGACTGAATATTGGGGGTGCTTGGAACGGATTGGGGCATTTACATGGAAAATGCGTCTCCACTTACAAAATTTTGTAGCTAAGAAATTTTTTTTCCAGACTCAATTAATTTCGAAAGTAGAGGTACCACTGTACGGCGAATGAAACCATCATCAAACTCACAGCCGGAGTCCATCTTTCATTAGTTGCACATTATAGATGCAATCCACCGGTGTAACTGCACACTTTGCGTCCTTTAACACAAAACTAGTATAGCTGGGCCGCCAGGCAAATATATCTGTAAGTCCAATTAAGTGTTAAACGTCGTGTGTCGGTGGGGATTCTCGTTCTACGTGTAAACATGAAAATTTGAAACCCGACACTGTGCAAAAGTCCACCACTACTACAGTATCTTGCTCATTTTTATGACTTTTTTTCACAGCCATCATTCTGACATATTCAATTAGTAAAAAGGGGGACAGATGGAGGTATTTACAATGACATCAATTAGGGTTCCATTCCATTTAGCTTTAAGAGAGGCAGCTCCCTGCGAGCCCTCAAGTTGAAGGGAATGTTGTAGTAAATATCTGCCACTTTAGTCTTACCATGTTTCTTATCAAACAGACACAAAAAATAATGATGTCATCGCTGTATGATGACAAGTGTGTTTTAGTGGTGTAACAATTTAACACAAAGCGAAAAGAAAGAAAGAAAAAAAACATGAGAACAAGCTTGTTCTGTTATTCAAGCACCCCTCTGCTCAGAATATTAGATTATCCAAGGTAGTGGGAACTTGATTTATTAAAACAAACTAATGGCGATTGGTTCTTGTCTTTTCCGCATTTTTACTCAGCATAAAACAAAGTCCATGATGGAGTTGTGAATTTAACTAGAATGATATTATGAAGTACATTTCTGGTGGCCAATGGACTCAAATCGTAGTGTACATGTTTCCATTATTTATCTGCGTAGTTTCATTCATAGTGTCATAGAAAACTGAACAGCTCGTTATGTCCAAAACCTACGCTCACTATCGCATTGCTTAAACCCCAAATCGAATTGGTGAGCTATGAGAACGTTGTTGGCAACAGGCACAGTCTGTCCCTTGCACATTAGCGCAAACAGCAGTTAGCTGCATTGTCAATGCGGCGCCGCAGAAGAGCTATGGCCCTAATCTACAAGACAGCCTAATAGTGTGGAACATCAGCACCTTGTCTGCGCACGAGGCACCGGCTCTGCGCTACATTAGCACTTCATCACTATCATGTGTGATGCATGTCTGTTTAAGACAAAATGAATGGCAGCAGATCGGGGTTGACTCGGTCGCCAAACAGACAACAGAGAGACGGGCGTTGCGAGTTGGCTGTATTTATGACACTCGTTCCCTATGGTCATTAAACTCAACTCACAATGCTTATTTTCACTCTCAATTGCTCCTTTAGAGAGCCGTGCATCGCTATTGCTATGCAGACTTCCGCATTTGTCTTCAGACTGCCCGCCTTGCTCTCACGCGTGAGCACTCCCAACTGCAGATGGCTTACGAGTTCCATTGGTCTACTACGATGTGTTTGGTCATATCATTGGTCAAATATTACGAGACTATGGGTAAATCGATTGGCAGTATTAAACTGGTCAGTAAAAACTCAAGTACTCAAATACTGTATTTGTTTACCTTGTTTTGACATGAAAAACGGCAACATTAGAACAAATCCTCACCAATGTGCAAAACCCTGACAGTGTTTCAAGGCCCCTGACTGACATTGACCATCATGAGTGCTGTCATTAAGGAGCAACAACCTTGCATTGCCGCATTACCGAGTGTTCGGGCTTGCAAGGAACCTTTTGTTTCCAGAGGAGACAACAATCGCGCAATTGTAGCTTGTCTCTGACGTCCTTCCAAAACCGTTGCCACGTTAATAGGCTTTAGCCTTTTATGAGCAATCAAATGAACAATTTTATTCCCAAGTACGTACTATTTAATTAGCTATCTGGATGTTGGAGAGCCCAAATAGAAATACAGTACGTGTATGTGTGAAAGAGACGAAACCTGTTCAACACTGTGCAAATGTTCCATCACTTTCTGCTAGACAGAATGTGAATTTAGTCCTCGAAAAAAATCATGAAAAGCCACCATTGACTGACTACAAATTAATTCGCCCGAACGTTATCTAACTGCCTCTGTTTAATTTGTTTTCAACTCGATCAAAACAAAGCGCGAATAGCTGTGTAAAAAAATAAAAACAACACAGCTATTCCATAGACATGGTATGATTACTGCTGAGGTTGTCTCGACATAGTAGTTTAACTCCACAGTTTTAATTTACGTCGTCATTGCATTTATATTGTGCGATCTCGTAATCTCCCTCCTAATCCTAATAGGGAGTGAGCTTTGCGCATCTGTTAGCGGACAATGCCGTGCTGTACAAGTCTAGTCATAATGCATTTCTGGGCACCAAGTTGTACAGTGAAGGTCTGCCGTGAGAAGAGTCGAGCGAAGCCAGACAAAGACGTCTTTAAGTGAGAGAAACAATGAATCTGTCAGAGCGCAGCAGCTGTAACTCGAGTTGCTTTAGTTTTTGTCCTGTAACAAAAGCGGCATTAAAACCAGGGCCACTGCGGGTTCGGGGGGGAAGACTTCCCGTCTGCTAACTGGGAATGCTCTACTCGCCACATTCAGATGAGTTAGGAACAAATGAATGAATAGTGGCATGTTTTATGTCACTTGGGTTAACAAGAAGGAAAATGACCTATGGAGCATTGTATATTATAGCCAGTCTGATGGGTCTGTGTGAGAAGCAAATGCCCTTGGAACCCTAATGCTGACGAGACAAATGTTAAACGTCCATCATGCTGTGATTTGTCTGTCTGAGAAATATCACATGAGAATCGATATCGTTGCAAGATGAACAGCCTCAGAACCAGACTCCTAAAGGGGCAGGGCATTCAACTACTGTCTCGTATCTATAAAATCACTTAGACGGGAATCGTCTCTGTCTTCTGAATCGTATGCCTCATTTTCATTGTACAGTTCTGACTTGGATTTATATTCCTCAGTTTGTGGAGGGGTTTGGTTTCCCACATCAAAATAGTAAAGCCGGGAAACTGTCTTCTAAATATTAATGCGGCTTTCCCCCTGCACAGTACCAAGTCGGCTTCAGAACAGTACCGCAGGAGACTGCCAAAATCACATGGTTTTGAACACATTATTTGGAATGAGACGCACTAAGAAATAACAATGGAGGAGAACCAGCATCTTGAATTTTATTTGAAGACAGCATTGCAGCAAAGTGGAGACTGGAGTATATTGCTGCAGCACCCAGTGTTAAAGCACAGCTGGGGAAGCTAACATTACCACAATTTTTTTTTGTGTGTCATTTCTTGCCTTGTATCCTCACTTTAACTTGTTGAGGCAATGGCTAATCTGCTTGAGAAAAGCGTGGCGAACATCTAGTTGTTAATATTGTGTGGTTTTGCGAAAGGAAAACCAACATTAGCGAGTGGCTACTTTCTGCCTCATCTTTTTAGACTAACTGTAATAACGCTTTTTGCACATGGAGTGATTGGTGTTGGATGGCCGAGAGAACGTAGGGACAGATACTGGGGGCAGGTTTCATGTTGCCAATTCAGTGAAGCATTTAGGTATGAAAGGTGCCATACTGGTGTATAATAAAGTGTCGCGTTCATATTGATACCATCCAGTGGAAAAGAAGTATTAGAAAAAGCAAAAGGGTATAGTCAAACCCTTCAAAACTTTTTTTTTAATCAAGCAATATGAGATGAACAATATTCTGCCATTTTTGTGTCTCACTGATGCCAATGCTGCTAACATAACATAATGCTTTGCTTTTTGCACACAAAATGACCGACGGTTTTCATCATGTTCAACAGGAACTGGAACCAAACCGGTCGGACCTTCAACTTTTCTGCGGTTTTCCACATTGTCCTTCTCATTTGGATCATTTCAAAGAGGCTGAACACGCCTTCAGACAAGCAGCTAATTAGCTTCACTGTTCAACGCAATGTACAGACGCACCGGCTTTTCAGTGTTGTACAATCAACCCACACGCTCTAAAATGAGCCAAATTGGATGCGCTTTCATTGGATGCAGCCACTCTGGATGAAATACAGCTGTTGTGATGAATACAGATGGTGTGGCAGACGGACATCAGATGAAGTTAACTAAACAATTAGCAGCCATTGGTCAGTGCGTCATTTTCTTTTGCCCTCATTTTCTGCTCCCGTTAAATCTTCCCAACTAGAAATAGAAATGGGGAAAATCCACTAAACATTGGGGATCGTTCATGGGGCTGCTAATCGTTTCTTTGAGGCCGTACTCGAAATGTGCAAAACACACTGTCACCATTGTGCCTGAACAGCCGCATGCGACTGAGCTGGTCACTGCCCATTCTACAGTTTTGTGAAATTCCTTCCTTTGGTGGCCACATGCAGATTTTATCTTTGCAGTAGCAGTAAATGTTTTTCAAGCCATAAAATGCAGATCTTGGAAGCAGATTCGGTATTAAACACCGACCACTTTAACTCGATGGAATGGGAGGTGTGAAGTGTTCAAGTGTGACAGTGCGCCTCTGCACCGTGGGCAGAGAGAGAACAGGCATATCGTGACGGGTGTCATATGGCGGCAGTGTTCTCTTTGCGTTTGGAGTGCGGTGCGCCGCTCGCAATCTATTTTTGATGATCAAACACTCGCCCCTGTGAATGTGGCAGGTGGCTGTAAAAACACTGTACTTCTGCTGTCCACGCATTGAAACCATCGGCTGAAATAATGAAACCATGAAGAAAAAAAAAAAACATCCCTTTCATCGGCCACCACTGATGTTACACTTTGAGAAGGGGAGCGTTTGACTCTCAAAAGACAGATGGGAAGGAGCGACACTTATACATGGTCCATTTGTGTTGACCACGACAAAAATGTTTAGACCAGAGATTCCCAAACTTGACGATACAAAGTATAAATGGGAGGTCATGAACACATTCTCATTATTATTAAGCCAATTGTGATGTTTTCCACACAAATTAAAAAGGGCTAGGTGATGAAATAAAAAAAAAACTCAAAACATTTGAACAAAAAAATCTCTTTAGCTGCTGTGTTTAGCACGCATCTTGACGTATTTGGCATATCGCATATTTTAGGTGACTGGCAGTAGGATAAAATCAACAATCTAGCTGCGCATGCCAATGTTGCATTAGATTTTTTTTTTTTTTGTTGGTCTCATGTTTTGTACGATTAAACATGGTGCCAATATTTGGGCTTTATTTTAGCTTTTTTGTGTGGAGGAATGGGGAGTTCACTATTTTTTTCCCGACGTTAAAGTTGTCATGTGACTTCAAACTGGGAAAGGCCACTTTATGCCAATGTTTTTAATCACTGCTTCCCAAAATTATTGATTATTAATGGTGGTCTGACATAATAATTCATTTACATTGTGTTTTTGGGATGTGTTTTCTCAAAATGGTTAAATGTTAGCAACTAGTTAGGGAAAGACATCTTTGCATGCCTAGCTTGTGCTTGCTTTTATTTTGTGTTGTCATGTGTTTTGACCATGTTTGTATGATTAAACGTGATGCCTTAAAATTTGTTCGGAAGGCAGGGAGTGGGCTTCGTTTTGGAAACGCTGGTCTAGACAAATACCATATGGAGACGAACATGAAAGAGACAATGATACCACGTTTGAGAGTGATTGGGAGACAGAGAAAATGGTGTTTCACTTTTTTTTCTTTTTTGGTTACGTGACGACAAACAACGCGACGTCATGCTTCTACACCAAGAGCGACTATTTGACGAACTACGCTTGGAGTGCATGCAGCAGTCGAGCCGGCGATTGGGCTTTCAAGAAATTTCCACTAAAATGGCATAATTGGATTTCAGCTGAAATCTGGAGGCAGCGCACTTTGCCACAGTACAGTTGTGAGCCACGCCGATTTCATACCTGATAGATCCTGTTTAGGTGTGCCTGTAGGGAGAGAATGTAGCGCATGTAATGGAGCAGCTCCACATTCCCGCCACATAGTACACCATTCTCTCCGCATTTTCCCCCTCATTACTTGGCAGCCATAGCGAGACCCTCGAGGAAGCGGGCCGCGTGAGATTTGTGAGGATAACTACCGGCAGGTGTTCATTGTTTTTGATCATTTGACCACTAAATGTTATGGGAGAATATTGGTCAAGATTGTCATGGTGCAAAAACAAATTGCTCAAATGTGTGCAGATCGTCTCAAGTGAAACAATAGAGAGGATACAATTGAGCGTAAAATGTAGAACCCTTTCAATCACCAGCATGAGCAGAGCAAAATGTGATTGAAAATGCCACATGAACACGTGCTCATTCGAGCGCTCATTGTGGCGAACACAGTAAGAAGCAGACATCGAGTTTCATCACAGGCCTCTGGATTGAATTGGATTGGGAAAGAGAGGAATTCGGGTTGACTTGCTTGACATTTGGGACATTTAAATAAAATCGAATCTCCGCGTCGACAGTTGAATGCAGTATTGTCAAGCTAATTGCGTGAGATCCAGTGGGCCGTCTCGAAGGAGATGCTTAATTTGGTAGAATTAATGGGCACAAACAGCACGGAGTGCTTTGCCAGCAAATACATGGAGAAGATTACCTCTTGGAATACAGGTTAAAGGCGCAGTACTTGATATCTGTCCTGAAGACACTTGCTGATTATACATACAAGTTAAAAATGCTTGGTTTCAAATGAGTCATTGTATCTCAACAATACACACTGCATTTAAAAACGGATACTTGTGTGTGTGAAATCATTTTTCTTTATCAATACATTCTGAAAATTAACGATGAATCATTTTTTTATCCATCCATTCATTTTCTGAACCGCTTTATCCTCACAAGGGTCGTGGGGCATGCTGGAGCCTATCCCAGCTGTCTTTGGGCAGTAGGTGGGGGACACCCTGAACCGGTTATTAGTGCTATAAATTGATCAACGACTTGGAGGAGTTGTGCAATCGGAAACCTATGTGGATGTAGCTGTAACTTGACATAGCTGAGAGTGACAGAATGCTTCTGCTGTTTGCAGCCAAGTAGCACAATCTGTTTTGCTTCAATTGCTTGATGGTAAGGGGATTCATAAACAATCAATTTAAATAATTTATGATTATTCTTGGCTGGCCCTGTGGTTAGCGCGTCAACCTCACAGTGCAGAGGTCGTGGGTTCGATCCCGGCTCCGGCCTTCCTGTGTGTAGTTTGCATGTTCTCCCCGGGCGGGCCTGCATGGGTTTACTCCGGGTACTCCGGTTTAATCCCACATTCCAAAAACATGCATGGCAGGTTAATGGAACACTCTAAATTGTCCATAGGTGTGATTGTTAGTGCGGATGGTTGTTCGTTTCTGTGTACCCTGCGATTGGCTGGCAACCGGTTCAGGCCTACTGCCCGAAGACGGGCAGTTGGCCTGGGATAGGCTACAGCAGGGGCCCCCAACCTTTTTTGCCCCACGGACCGGTTTATGTCAGACAATATTTTCAGGGACCGGCATTTAAGGTGTGGCGGAAATAATACAACAAAATAATATGGTATGAGCTGCATGAAAACTGTGGCGTTTTCGAAATATAATAATAAACACAAGGAACGTCTAATCTGGCCGCAACACTCCGATCGCTATCCCCTCAAGTTGGTGTTTCATGTCCAGTCTACTTCGTAATTTTGTTTTAGTCGCCGTTGCTGCAGAAAACCCCCTCCTCACACAGGTAGGATGTCGGAAATAGCAACAGTGCTATTGTGGCCATCTCAGAGTATTCAGCCATAACTTTAATCCAGTTGTCTCGAACGTACTTTTAAGGCCGCCGTCATTTGCGATCTCCAGCAGTTTTTTTTTTTTTTACTCATTTTGCGAGCTCCCGCGTTTTGTTTTGAAGCAATCGGTCACGTGAAGGAGAAGCGTGGCTTGACGTGTGTCAAGCGTAACACAGACGGATGTAACGGAGAATCCGGTGGTTTTTCAAAATAAAACATCTTTCGTATTCCGAAATTAATAAAACGGAATTAAGGCAAGTTCTTTCTGTGCGGCCCGGTACCAAATGCCCGGCGGACCGGTACCGGTCCGCGGACCGGCGGTTGGGGACCCCTGGGCTACAGCACACCGCGCGATCCTTGTGAGGATAAAGCGGATCGGAAATGGATGGATTATTATGCTCATCCCTAGTTGCGTATCGTAAGACTGTGGGACATTTTCATTAATTTTTAACTGTACATAAGATTACACACTTCCCAAAAATTTTAAGTCTTTCCCAAACGTCTTAAATTTGGTTTCCTTCTACCCTGGACTCAAACTTCTTAAAATGCATCATACGGTGTATTGCCATCACATCATATGCACATACACTTGTAGGCTAATTATAAAGACACACAAAATGTGCATCAAAAAGCCCTTCCATGGCTGAGTGATGAACAATGAAACAGTTGACAGCTTTCTACTGGCCCGGTTGGGGCAAGCCCTACCTGTAGTTGTGCCATCCATTCCATTTGTGTTCATGCTTTTTTACCTGCTCGCCATCGGTGAAGACGCGGTTGCCGTAGCTCCAGCTGATGGTGGGCGTCGGATCCCCCGAGGCCTCGCAAGTTAGCATGACCTGCTCCTCCATCTCGGAGGTGCTTTGGTTCACAATGTAGGTGATCTTCGGTTTGACTATGAAACACAAAGTTGACGCAAAAAATGAGTGCTGGATTTGGGATGACTTCAAAGGGAGAATGAGAGGCTTGACACGTGAAGGGGAGGCGTCGGGGCTAAACCATAATAAGCTGTCTATTCGCAGCAGCAGCAGCAAAAGTATGATAACCACGCGAGGATCCAAACTTTAATTCATGTGGGAATTACGCCAGTTTCAGAAGGCTTGGCCTCTATTTATGTTTACATGTCAGCACACTGTTGGGGAGGAGTTTTGAGGGTGATGCTTGCAGAGCAAAGAAAATTAAAGCACTGGATGTGAAGCGTGAAGTTTGTTTTTTGTTTAGTTTTTTTTTTCCCTGGCACTCTGCGGAGGATGAACACATTGTAGCATTTCTTCACTGTAACAACTGAGGATTGTACAATACTCGGCAAAGGGATGTATTTGCAACCCCTTATTAAAATTGCATGAATAGCCACGGATAATTATTTGGTGAACAAAGGAGCAGCTGCCTTGTTACCGATGTCATTATATAAAAACTCATTGATTTTTTTTCCTTCTTTTTTATGACTAGAATATTAATACAGTATCTGAGTACACGTGTGCATGACAAACTAGCATCGCTTCTTGCGTAGGAGCACATCAAAAAATTAACGTACGATAGCTGTACTCCAAACGCATCGGCTTGCTATTGACCGCTACGCCTCATTCATGAATCCACGTGAACCGAACGTATACAGTCGAAGCAAACTGAACGGGATTCAAATCCCATGATTAAAGATAAACTTGACTCCCATCCTGTGGGAATTCCGCGGGAAGAGACAAATGTTAAACGTCCATCTTGAGATTCCCGAAAAAAAATTCCGCCTCGAATATACACATAGTAAATAAATATTCCCCGCTCACCAAATACTCTCAGACTGAGCTCCTGCTCCGTTTCCCCAGCCTTGTTTTTGGCGATGCAGGTGTACTCGCCCTCATCGAGCTTGCTGACGTCCATGATGGACATCTCCGAACCATCCTCATTGAAACTGTACTTCTCTGCCGCCTCCAGAGTGATTTGGTTCCTGAAGGCCAAAAATAATAATCTCCATTAATGCATCCCTGAAATTTCAAGCACCCTTGCAGCACAAAATACAGTCTTGTCATGGATTCTTCCACATATCACTTCGAATCTTCTAATGTATTTTAGCAAATGCAGCTCAAGCCATTTATTGGAGGGAGGTATCTATTTGAAATGAAGTCTTTATTTGTAAAAATGGAGCCCAAGGTTAATTTGTCAGTTGACTGATGAATAGTTGTTACTTTTGTGTTACTGTGAGAGTGAAATGTGAAACTGTCTTCTCCTCCTCCCCCCAACAAAGTGTGTCCCCACTGACATGTATCTCTTAATATTAAGAACATATTTGTGAACAAAGAGGAGCTATTTTACAAATGCACAGTCAGCACTACCAAATTAGCGACTTTTTTCCCCCTCAAGCAACGTAAACGCGATGCACCATTTTTAAGTCCGGCAAAGACCACAGGAGTGGAATCGTATTCACATTATTTTTCATTTGACAAGAATGGAGCCCAGTGAAAAGGCACTTGCGCAGTCAATTGCGCTGAGCATTGCCAAATTAATTGTGCCCATTCATACATGATGTGGCGACACAATGGCAACCTTTGACCTGAGGTATGTGATTCTAATTTGCAAAGATTTTTGCAAATTCGCCTGCTGAGCCATGCATTTTGATGGCTCATTTTATGATGTTTATGATTCTTAAACCTATTAAGATTCATGTGAAATAGCATTTGACAAAGGGGACATTATTTTCCCGAAGACTGAAGTCAGTGTTTACTATCAGTCTCTATAAAGAGAAATATTCATTCTCATTACTTTTGTGGAAGTTAATGCTCAGAAGACAACAATTAAATTATTGTACTGTGTACTCATCTATTTTTTCCTTGAGGGCATTTTTTTGAATTAATCATCCCCATAATTATTTATGTGAAATCCATTTTCACTTCATTGTCCGAAAATTCACACAGTAGAAGGAAAATGGTGCCGTGGCAAAAGGATAAACACAACCTGTCTGACAAAGCAAGGGCCCTATCAGTGTCACACACAACAATGTGCCTATTGAGGACGGCAGTCTTCAGGTTTCGCTGTCTTTAATAAGGATCCTATTGCAATGAATTAACCAGTTAGCCTACAAATGTATTTGAGTAAGAAATTACATTCGGTGGCAAAACAGCAAGGATTAAATTAGATTTACTTAGAATCACTTGGTGACACAAGCTTGTTTCACTGTTTGCACGACTGGCAAGATGCGATGCCACCAATGGTGATGCCACCAATGTCTTTACATTTGTATCATGGCCATTGTCACATGAGCACACAAGCCCAGATAGTGTTCGTGGGTGAACATTGGGAGGCTTCTGCTCGGGGAAGAAGCCTCTATTTGGACACCAATATGGGAATAACATAAAACAATATTACAATTAATGTCAAGAGAATCTTATTTTCTCTCTGGATGAAAATGCTTCTTACCTTGTCCAGGTCACCATGGGTTCAGGGTAGCCATCGACCGCACAGGTCAACATGGCAGATTGGCCCACATCTGCTGTGGCGTTCACCTCTGACTGCCATACTCTGATCGTTGGGAGCACTGACACACACAAGACACAGTTGAGGGAGATGCATGTCATAACTTCATTCATGGAAGCAGGTTGGCAAACGCAACCCAAATTAACATCACAAACAGAACACTTATTTGAGGCGCACATCATCCTCTTGCGTCAGAACTCAGGAACAGACTCACGTCATTAGCATGAGTGCTTCTGGCGACCCAGTTGCTGTGGGCAACCATTTGCACATGCGTGCCGAGAGCCTCTGTGGATACCCCCGCGTCTCCCCCCCCCCAAAAAAAAACAACAACAAAAAAAAAACCCAGGAAGACGAGAATACAGCGGCAAAAGCTTTGCTAACCATTTACGACGACCTTGATAACCCGTAAATCAATCTCGCCGCGGGCCATCAGGCGTCCCTCGCAGGTGTACGGGCCCTCGTCAGTCTTCTTTATGCCGCGGATTTGAAGGTGGTTGTTGCTCAGCACCTTGAAGCGAACTTGAAAGGGAAGATAAAAGCATCGTGAGGGATTGTCAAGTCCGGCAAAACAGCGGGTACGAAACTTGCTCGGTGGCTCAATGGGACCACGGAGACAAGAGTGGTTGGAGTGATGGTTGACATGTTAGACCTGTCATCAGTCAGGTTTATCCGTCGAGAATCTCTGCGATATTCATCCATAAATGCAGTGAGTGATTCCCAACCACTGTGGAGCAGAACATTTGTGTGCTTTGAGGGATCATCTGGTGTGTTATGGAAAGTAATCCAGTGTCACTTAATTGGTATTATTTTCTATTATAATGTTCATCTGTCTCTGCCAGTCATTTATAATGATTAAATGTTCTTGCACTCGATGGAAGAAAGTACAATTAGCCTGCGTCTCCAGCTGCTACTATTCATCCAAAAGAATGAAGTGAACAGACAGAAGCAGGTAAATCTGTCCGTAAATTGAGACGAGATCATCATTATTTCGGTTTTCTATACATGCTTTTTAAATTTCTATTTTGGATGGCGTGCTGTGAGATTTTTTCTAATGTAATACACGTACTTCGGCTCGATTAAAAATAGGGAAAAATGTATTCCTGCACAAGCTCAACTAGATGGAAATATATATTAAGGGGAATCGCCCCAAAAGTAGTCACATTTTCGGGCCAAATTTGCATATGATGTCACCGGGCTCGTGACGAAAATGAGGAAAAGTGTGATAATCACCATACAACCCGGAATTTGAACTTATTCTTAGACCTAAGAGGGTCTGGCTGCTCAGTAAAATATCGATAACTTAAGACAAACCTCTGTTGCTCATGCCACTTAATTAAAATCACACAGGCTGTTCCTATGCTACACCTAATCCAGCAATAACTGTCAAACACGAGATGAATACTTTTACTTGATTTTAGTTGTATGTTGTTACATGATACATTACCTTCTTACTTTGTGTTAAAATATTGCTCCCGATGAAACATTGCTTGTTCTGTTGGCGAAGCTAATACAACCCCCTCACATGAATCCCAATAGATGAAAATGTTATGGAAATTAGGACATGGATGTCAACCAAATCAATTGTGTCCATCTTCAGAGGCAACACCGTAGGCTCTTATTCATTATTAATACACCTCATACTGCACTTACCACAAATATATCCTTGAAGATAACAACCGGAGTTTGAGATGAAATGTTGACCTAATAAATTCAATCATGCGTTAATTCAAAACATTGTTACAACCCCCGTGCGATCTTGTGTTGTGATGTGCCCGCAACAACACAATACACTTTGTGATATTGCTCTGGGTCTTGGGTGAATAAAACAGTCAATTGTACTTTCCTATTCAAAAGCAAATTAATTTTTACTTTTTTTTTTCTTTGCAAATAAAAGTGACAGTGAAACGGGCGCCGTCAGGCAGGCACCCATTACCAGAACATTTGCATTATAATATAGTCCAATTATTTTGACCAGGCACTACTTGTTTAGGTTGTCGGTTTTTGTTGTTGTTTTTTAACATCATGCCACTCGTAATTTACTCATTGTATTTCACTTTAGGCCTCATATTATTAGCTGTTTCATTAAAGAAATTGTTACATGAAAGAAGGGCTTGCATGGTGGAGGTGTTGAAAAAAAACTGTGTAGTTTCCCACCCGTTCATGAATGCATAGCAATTTGTGAACCAGAACAATACAAATCAGTCTTTGGCTTTTCGTTCCCATGTCATAATATCTTTATTTCCCAGGCACATTGTACCGTAAATTTAGATTTCATTTTAGGCATGACATCTACACCCTGTTGGGTCAAAAACAAATTTGACCAAATCCTCATTTTTGCATAATGCAGAGATGCTTCCATCCGTGCGCCACTCCAATTGTCACACCAGTAGTGGTCCAAAAATGTAGTCGTTGGATTTCAATTTCATTCTCATGATCATTGGACTGCCATCTTACCGTCTTTTTCCATTTGTATCCTAGCTCCTTTGTACTTCCAAAGGATGGTGGGTGGAGGGGAACTGATGACATCACACACGATAACGGCTGTGTCTCCTTCCGTGAACTCTTGCGGCGACGGCGCATTCGTGAAGGTAATTCTCTCTGAAAACAAACAGCCATGTAACTATACTCATCTAGTTTCATTCTCGAGGATCTTATTCACTGTTTTAATGTACTATATACTGTTCTTAAGGAATAGTATATATTTTTGGAGCAATTTTGCAATTTCTGTCACGTGAAACTACAGTTTAAAACCAATTAAAACGGGCTACAATGGAGAAATTAAATGGAGCAAGGGTGCACACAAGATTATTGAGCCCATTGGAACACGTTAAAAGACACCGTCCCCACATGTTAAACACTGTGCACAGGACTCGTAATTGTTCACACCAGGGACTACTGTTTTGGTGAATCGCCACGAATTGTCATTACGGTCTCCACATAAGATCATCTTTCAGACTGCACAGGGAACTTGTAATCGTCCAGACTTTAATTAAACTGGGAGAGACTCTTTATGTGCATCTGTGGCTGCTGCTGTTTTGGGTAGCAACCAAGTTCCAATGAGCTCGGCTCTTAAGAATTAATGTCCACGTGGAACTAAGAAGGCCCATGAAGTGACGTAAAAAGAGTTTTTAATTTTCAGAGGACGACGATGCGGTAATTTAGAGAACATAAGGTTTGCTTGTTTTGCTCATCCTTTTACAATTCGTAGAATCCCCTTTGGGCAAACAAGCCATTTGTTGAACTCATTTTGTGATTACCAGCTCCTTCGAGGAGGATTTTCTCCATTCAAAATGAGTTTTCTCAGCATTCTTCTCCCTTGTAATTTAATCAAGTTCCGCCGGCTGACGATATTTACTACAGTGAACTTCCATTCTAAACTAACCATCTGATTGATGGAGTTTGCTGCTGGCACTGAAGCACTACGGCGACCTAATACACTTGACCCGGCCAAATGTTGCAGACTGGCATTGAGCTGCAATCTTATCTGGTGACATCCCGTGGATTAAAAAGATAAAAGTGCGCTTTGTAACAGTCTGTGCCTACAGGTGGAAGTAATAATTGGTTGGAGAAGATGGGGGCGACATTGCGGTGGGAGGCAGTCGAGCGATGACGTTTGCGTTCCTTTTACACAGCTGAGAGGTTTCCTTTTCAAAAAGTAATGTATTTATTTAAGATCCAAGCATCAAACTATGTAAATAGGTTCTCCTATTTGTTATACGCACGGCTGGCCGCTTTCTGTGCCATCTAAAACAAACAGTGAAAGTGTTGACAAGCGAAGAAAACTCGTCTGATGGACATGTGCTGATGCACAGCATTCATGGAAAATAAAAGACATTCATCACAGGAGCTGCAAAACAGACAGCATCATTAAGCAGCCTTCTAATGGTCTTCTGACCATTTATCGAACTGATGAAAAATCTATCGTCTGG